CTTCCTCGTAAGTCATGCCCACTTGTCCTCCGAGGTCGGGGTTCGTGGCTACATCAGGTTTCAATGTTCCACGGCCATCCTCCACTGGAAGTGGAGGGCGAGTCGGGGACTTCGGGTTAGGCTGGGGTGGTTTGGTGGGTGGTGAGCGGAGGTGCAACGCCGATGCCCGGCAGGTGCCCAGCCGCAGCTTGCCGTGCTCGCAGCCGACGCGGCGCATGCAGGTCTCAATTAAGGAATTGGAACCCCCAGTCGGACTCTGAAGTCGAATCAAATCGGAGTCGGAATCCATCGAAATCAAATCGAATCGAATCGAAGTCGAATCGAATCAAATCGAATCGAATCAAATCGAATTGAGTCGGATCGAATCGAGATGAGTCCTGACCTCGCCCGCATCAGACGCCAGGTGGACGCGATATCCCAAGAGAGCGCCCACCCAGGCCAGCATGGGCCATGTTGCGAACCCCAGCCAGCACCACGGCAGTTCCCAGACCTGGGTCTCAGCCAGGGGGGATTCAAAGGGACTGGCTGACCCCTGTCAGCGCTGGCCCTCCTCCTCCTCCTCCTCCTCCTCGTCCTCCTCCTCCTCCTCCTCCTCCTCCTCCTCCTCCCGTGCCCCGATCACGACCAAGATGCACTCAAAATCCGTCCCCAGACCGCGCCCCACGGGGCCCGTCCGGGCCAGTTTGCTTTGGCCCCGGCCCGATCCCTGACGGCCCTGGCCCCCGGAAGCCTGCCGACGGGCGCCGCAGGCGACGCGGCAACAAAAAAAAGAAAAGCTCCAGCCCGCACGCGAGCCGCCACGCGCGCCGTGGCAGCCGGCCCCCGGCCCTCCGAGAGCGCCTCGGGCAGACATCCGAGAACGCCCCGAAATCCCCGGCCTCCGAGAGTTCAGCGACGGGCCTCCATCTGCGGCGCGGCGACGCCGCCAGGGAGTGCCCCCCCCCCCCCCCCCCAGGGCGCCCCCGTCTGGCACTGCAGCTCCGTGCACCTGGCTGCGCGCGCGGCCAGCAGGTGCCCCCCCGAAGGAGGGGGCCGAGCAGAGGAGGGCGTCTTCAGTCTGAGCATGGCTCTGCGGCAACTCCTGGCAGCCTCCCGTGCACTCCTCCTCGTCCTCTAGCGCCGCCGCCGCCTACTGCGCCCTCTCCTCCCACTCCTCCTCCTCCTCCTCCTCCTCCTCCTCCTCCTCCTCCTCCCCTCCTCCTCCTCCTCCTCCTCTCTCCTCCTCCTCCTCCTCCTCCTCCTCCTCCTCTTATGATAATTGCTCTTCTTGATAATAGTAGTAATATGCGTAGTCGCCTGATTGATACTCACGACCGCAATGATAACAACAATCATAATAATAATACTAATAATAATGATAATAATAATAATAATGCAACGGTTTTCATCACATGGTATAAAGCTTACTCGTCGTAGTGTGACTAGAATCATGCGTAATTGTATGTTAGACGTATTAGTCGTATGAAGAATATTAGTAGTAGTAGCAGCAGCAGCAGCAGCAGTAGTAGTAGTAGTAGTACTAGTAGCAGTAGCAGTAGTAGTAGTAGTAGTAGTAGCAGTAGCAGTAGCAGTAGCAGTAGCAGTAGCAGTAGCAGTAGCAGTAGCAGTAGCAGTAGTAGTAGTAGTAGTAGTAGTAGTAGTAGTAGTAGTAGTAGTAGTAGTAGTAGCAGCAGTAGTAGTAGTAGTAGTAGTAGTCTAGTAGTAGTAGTAGTAGTAGTAGTAGTAGTAGTAGTAGTAGTAGTAGTAGTAGTAGTAGTAGTAGTAGTAGTAGTAGTAGTAGTAGTAGTAGTAGTAGTAGTAGTAGTAGTAGTAGTAGTAGTAGTAGTAGTAGTAGTAAGTAGTAGTAGTAGTAGTAGTAGTAGTAGCAGTAGTTGTAGTAGTAGTTGTAGTAGTTGTAGTAGTAGTAGTCGTCCTCGGAGTAGCAGTAGTAGTAGTAGTCGTAGTAGTAGTAGTAGCAGTAGCAGCGGTAGTAGTAGTAGCAGTAGTAGTGGCAGCAGCAGCAGGAGCAGTAGTAGTTGTAGTAGTAGTAGTAGAAGTAGTAGTAGTAGTAGTAGTAGTAGTAGTTAGTAGTTAGTAGTTAGTAGCTAGTAGTTAGTAGTTAGTAGTTAGTAGTTAGCAGTTAGCAGTTAGTAGTTAGTAGTTAGTAGTAGTAGTAGTAGTAGTAGTAGTAGTAGTAGTAGTAGTAGTAGTAGTAGTAGTAGTAGTAGTAGTAGTAGTAGTAGTTCGTAGTAGAAGTTAGTAGTAGTAGTAGTAGTAGTTAGTTAGTTAGTTAGTTAGTTAGTTAGTTAGTTAGGTAGGTAGGTAGGTAGGTAGGTAGTTAGTTAGTTAGTTAGTAGTAGTAGTAATAATAAAAGTAGTAGTAGTAGTTGTAGTAGTACTAGTAGTGGTGGTGGTGGTAGTAGTAGTAGTAGTAGTAGAGTAGTAGTAGTAGTCGTAGTAGTAGTAGTAGTAGTAGTAGTAGTAGTGGTAGTGGTAGTGGTAGTGGTAGTGGTAGTCGTAGTAGTAGTAGTTGTAGTAGTAGTAGTAGTAGTAGTAGTAGTAGTAGTAGTAGTAGTAGTAGTAGTAGTGGTAGTAGCAGTAGTAGTAGTCGTAGCAGTAGTAGTAGCAGTAGCAGTAGTAGTAGTTGTAGTAGTAGTAGTAGTAGCAGTAGTAGTAGTGGTAGTAGTAGTAGTAGTAGTCGCCTTATGATTCGTTTTACTCTTGCTATATGACGGTGAATCGTAATATCAGTCTTAGTCGTTAATCGTATGATCACTCTTCTTTAGCATCACGGAAACATTTAGCATTCTGACTAGTAATAGAAGTATCGCCATTACTCTCACTACTACGATGATTATGTTTATTATCCGTATGCTCTTGTCCCTATGATTATTCCTCCTCCTCCGCGGGTGTGGCCAGAGGCGATGTGGACAAGCCAAGCACGCCCAATCTTTACCACCCTCTGCTGGGATCTGCCTGCGGTTGACGCACTTCCACTTGATGCCTGCACAGCGAGGCGAGGGGATGTATGAGACACTAAAAGCGATGGGAAGGGATGAGAGGGAGGAGGGGATAGAGGAGGACGCAGATGAGAAAGATAGACAGAGCTAGACGAGGAAACAGACTAAGAGACATAACGTCGCGAAGACAGAGAAAACAGGGACTGGCTTCTGGAGACAAGGCGGGAAATGGACAGGCAGAGAGAGAGATACATGGACGGAGGCCAGGGCTGGGAAGATGAGGAGGCAGCGAGAGGCGAAGACAGAGGGACGCGCGATGGCAGGGAGCCAAAACAGAGGACGCCGGGAGAGGACGGGAGCAGACCACGGGAGCCAGAGCGGAGGGAAAAGGACTCAAGGATCGAGGGCCCAGGAGTCGAGGAAACTCGAGGGAGCGAGGATCGAGGAGGAGGAGGCTCGAAAGAGAAGGGGAGGGGGAGGGGGAGGGAGGAGAAGACGAGGGGCTGCCCCGGCGGGGAGCCCCGAGCAGGGAAGGCCGGGGAAGGCCGGCGGGAGCCGGGCGTGCACGCCACCCAGGCGCGCGAGGCTGCGCGGGGCGAGCGCGGCAGGTCCCGCCGTTCTTGTCGAAGACGTACCGCACGTCGCCGGCGGTCACGTGCGCCACCTGTGAAGGGGCCCCAGGACACACAAATAGATACACACAAATGAATAGATTCCACGTGTTTTCCCATATTTTTGGGGGTTGGGGTCTTCCGCCCCACTTCCCATATGTTTGCATATTTTCCTGGGGAGTCGACGATGAATTGTGTCTGTGTGTTTCTTTCCCTCCTGAACCTGGCAGCGCGGCGAGGCCGTCCCGGCGCTGCCGTTCGCAGCCGCCGGGGGGGAGGCCGGCTCCCCCTCCCGCGGGCCGTGCCAGCAGGAGGGCGCAGGGAACAAAAAGGGGGACAGCGTGAGGTCGGGCATGCCCCCCCTGCAGGCGGCTTTCGGGCGAAAAAGAAATAAAGGTAGTCACGAAAAAACATGCAAAAATAATCTAATAAATAGTCAAAAAAATCGGTTCATACGATCGTTTGACTAGTTTTGAGTTTTCCTCCTGTAGAGGGACATGCCCGAAGAAAGGGTAGCGAATCGCCTTGCGCAGCTGGTTTTCCCAGCGCCTCCCGGCGCCACTTGCATTCGGGGCCGAGGCCAACCGCATGCAGGCCCCGAAACCCCCATTTCGTCCTCCTCCTCCTCCTCCTCCTCCTCCTCCTCCTCCTCCTCCTCTTCCTCCTCTTTCCTCTCCTCCTCCTCCTCCTCCTCCTCCTTCCCACCTCTCCTCCTCCTCCCACCTCCCCTCCCTCCTCTCCTCCTCCGCCTCCTCCTCCCTCCCTCCTCCCTCCTCCCTCCTCCCTCCTCCCTCCTCCCTCTCCTCTCTCCTCCCTCCTCCCTCCTCCCTATGCGCCAAGAGAAGGAGAGAAGGTCTAGGCAGATGGAGATCGGCATACCCAGCCACAGAAGGCACTAGTGGGCTCACATAGGAGGCAGCTTGGGTTCTCTCGCACCTCTCCGAGGAAGGGGCCCGACAGGCTCCTCACGAGAACCACTGCGAGCTCCCACAAGAGGCACCCCACACTCTACAACGGGCTTGGCAGGATTCCACCGAGGCACACCAAGGAGACCCACTACCGCAGGTACAGCATGCTGACAGATCCTACAAATTTTCAGGCCTAACGATTATGAAGGCATTGCGACGGAGGCATTGCCTTATCGCATCATGCGCCCTGAAGATTTCATTTCGAACCTCTTCTGTGGCCGACGCCGCAAGGGGGGCATTCAGTGGTTTCTGTCAGATGTGCAAGCCATTGCGGACATCGCGATTACAGCACTGTCGCTGGATATAGCAATAGATCATGTGTTGGGGAATATCACCAGAAAGGCCACGATAGAAGGATCGACCATGCAGATTCGACATTACAAAGTGTGGGTCACAGGGGGGGGGGGGGGGCACCCCTGTGAGACGTGGAGCGCAGCCAAATGGAATCCAGGGCCCCCCCCCCACCACTACGTATATATGTGGGGAGTCCCCTGATGCACCGGCGCCCAGCAGGAGCAGCTTCGAGTGGGCAACCTGTTGCTCTTCACGATCGCCCAGTTGCTGGCAGAACATGTTCGAGCTGGGACATGCGGCTGGATGCAGCATCCGCCGCAGGCCCAGTGGCGACTCCAAGCGCCATCGAGCTTCCAATGGTCTCGACTCCTAGCTACGAGATGTTGCCCACAGGTCAGTACGATCATGTTCGACCACTGCATGCACCATGACGGCGACCCACAGTTACACGGAAGAGGTGCCACACGTATTTTAGCTTTGCGCCTCCCCACACTGCACGGCCTACTCAAGGCTCACAATCATGGCTTCTGCAATCACGGGAACGGTGTACACAAGGTCATCTTGTGCGCAAGAACGACGACGGCACTTTCAAAACGTGCAGCAAAAAGACGTACCCACAATCCATGTTTCGCGCCCTTGCGCAAGCCATGCATGATGCTGTCTTAGCCGCTCATTCTAAAAACGATGCGCCACTCCGCCAGATGGCCTTACCGCCAATGATTTCGACGACGCTACTATACGGAGATTCTACGTGCCTTGGTCAGACACCGAGCAGTTCTGGGAGGCACTCGACTATGTCGGCACCAAGGGAGAGAAACGCAGGTCGGATCCTGAGAGGTGGCATTGGGACCCTCCCGACCCGCCTCCCTTCACCTCCCCCGCCCCTGCCTCCCCCCCCGTGGCCCCTGCGAGCTCCGGAGGGGGCCCTGTGGCGCTCCCGTCCGAGGCCCCCGAGGACCCTTGGCCGCAGGAGGCCTGCGACCTCCAGGCGGACGGGGAGGCCGCCAGGGAGCCGGATGGACCGCCCCGCCCTCGGCCTTGCCTCGGGCGAGGCCCTCGTGTTGCCTCCTCCTCCTCCTCCTCCTCCTCCTCCTCCTCCTCCTCCTCCCCCTCCTCCCCCTTCCGACTGTTCAGCTTACGCCTGAACAGCTTGCGCGTATTCGCCAGAATCGAGCGGAGGCCAAGGAGCGCAGGCGCAAGCGCATTACGCCGTGGCACCTCGAGGCCGCTCCGTGGCCAGGGGGGGTAATTCGATGTTCTGTGTACCAATCCCGCGGGAGCTTTTGGTGGCCACACGGGGCCATCAAAAGGCAGAAGTCCTCAGCTGAGCGAAAAGAGCACGACCCAGCGTCCCAGCCTTCGTCCGACCTCCCTCCTCCCTCCTCCTCCTCCCTCCTCCTCCTCACCTCCTCCCTAGCCTCCCTTCCTCCCTTCCCTCCTCTCTCCTCTCTCCTCCTCCTCCTCTCCTCTCCCATCCATCCCTCCTCATTCTCCTCCGCTCCTCCCTCCTCCCTACTCCCTACTCCCTCCTCCCTCCTCCCTCCTCCCCTCCATCTTCCCTCCTCCTCCCTCCCCCTCTCCCCCGCGGGCCTCCAGATAATCCCCAGAAGTCTCCAGAGGTCTCCAGGGGAGAGATCCCTGGAGGTCTCCATCAGAGGCCCAAAAAAAGGGCCTAGAACATCCAACGGGAGGTCGTGAAATCAGCCCCGAGCATCCAAAGCATTGACCCTCGATCCTCCTCCTCCAGGCTGACGCCTGCGGCCCTGGGCACACGAAGCCGGCACGTATATACGCTTTGTCACGTCGTCTCCGACCAGGGCAGTCGGCGCCCTTTTGAAGGGGAGGAGGATCGGCCAAACACGAGCGAGAACTCCAGGCAGGAGACGGCACGGCACCGGAACGCGTCAGCGCGCGTGCGAGCGTGCGCATGCGCGCGCGTGATGTTTTCACCCACTGCGGCGTGCTGCCTGTAGCCGGGCGCGCTCCGGAACAGTCAATCCGTATCATAGGGATACACGCGTTAAGGATGCAAGGGCCCAAGAGGCAAACGCGAACGTTTTTCGAGCGAGGCTGGTCAGAGAAAGTCGCGAAGGATGGGCCGAAGAGGCAAGGATGCAAAGGTACCCTTGGGAGGATTTGCCCGAACGTTTTTCGAACGAGGCTGGTCAGCGAAAGTCGCGAGGGATGGGCCGAAGAGGCAAGGATGCAAAGGTACCCTCGGGAGGATTTGCCCATCCTTTGCGAGTTGACTGTATCTCTCGTCTCTGTCTCTGTGTCTGGCGGCGGTGGACAACGATGGCGGCAACGCCGAGGGCGACGGTGGCGGCGTCGCCAGGCGAGGGCAACGGCGGCGGCGCCGCCGCCGACGGCGGCGACGCGGCCGAGCGGGGCGGCGGACACGCGGCGGGCGGGCGCCTGGTCGCGGCAGCGGTGCGAGCGGCAAAGCTGGTCCTGCGGAGGCGACGGCGCGTCGCCCTCGCCACCCCCGTCGTCGCTGCCATCCTACGCCGCCGCCACCGCCGTCGGCGTCTGGTCTCACTCACCAATCTCCCCAAGCCCCACCCCTCTGTTCATTCCTCCGATTCCTCCGTCCACCTCCGCTTCCTTATTCCTCTTCCTCCTTCCCCTCCTCCTACTCCTCCTCCAGCTCCTCCTCCTCCTCCTCCTCCTCCTCCTCCTCCTCCTCCT